TTTCATTTACTTCCACTGTAGAAACACTAGGTGGAGATAAACATCCACCACCAGGCGCCATACTCGTAATGACACAATTTTATAGTACAGCACAATGTTCTCTGGTGATGGGCACCTCGATAATTTAGTAATAACAAACAGATTTCAAAGCATATAAACCCAAGTCGAAGACACAGACTAAGGATAGTAATGCGGTCAATGGTGAATTTGAATGTTTATGCTTTCGAATTATTGGAAACAGGCAAAAAGAAAAATGAAATAAACAGAAAAAAAGCACTCCCTGGTCTGTATCCCCACGTAAGCCCACCCCCGTGAAAGTGAAATCTGCCATCCGTGCTGCAGTTCCTCTACAGTCTTTAATTTGAAGTCACTCCTACCAGGACGTATTTCCTCGGGCACAAGCGCGCGCTGGAGCCTGCCGTTTTATTAACGCACAGGTTTACTGACACAGCACTGGATCTACAAAGGACCCAAGGACACAGACTTTTGAATCTAGTTAGCCTGATTAAAAGCAGCTAACACTGACATCATTTTATTGTACGGCTCCCTAAACGGATGGTATCGTAATAAAAAAAAAAGAAAGAAAAAAAAAGTTATCACTCGGGGGAGAATCCTTTGCGTAAAAAGGGACCGAGTATGAATGATGTATTGCGCAGAATCTCGGCTCATTTAGCCTACGATTAATTTACCGGAGAGAAGCGCATCTCCATCTCGTGGGATGCGAGCGGGGCATGTCTTGGCTGAATGCTGTTGCACGGTTTTGGTTAGACGGTGCCAAACTTGCGCAAAGAGCCCGATTCTGCACAAGAACTGATCGTTGCCAGTAAGGTGACCGAAAGCACACAATGTCAGCCATACGGCGGAAATTTGGCGAGGACTACCAGGTGGTAAACACCAACCGGAGCATGACTTTTTCCGCGCCGGTGAAGAAAAAGAGGCAGCGATTTGTAGAGAAGAACGGCCGCTGCAATGTCCAACACGGTAACCTTGGGAGTGAAACCAGCAGGTACATCTCTGATCTATTCACCACGCTGGTGGATCTAAAGTGGCGCTGGAACCTGCTCATCTTCATCCTCACGTACACGGTGGCGTGGCTGGTCATGGCTTCGATGTGGTGGGTCATCGCTTACATCCGCGGAGACCTGAGCTACGGCGGCCACAACTCGTCCTACACCCCGTGCGTCGCCAACGTCTACAACTTTCCCTCTGCGTTCTTGTTCTTCATCGAGACCGAGGCGACCATCGGCTACGGCCACCGGTACATCACGGAAAAGTGTCCTGAGGGTATCATCCTCTTCCTCTTCCAGTCGCTGCTGGGCTCCATCGTGGACGCTTTCCTGATTGGCTGCATGTTCATCAAGATGTCGCAGCCCAAGAAGCGCGCGGAGACGCTGATGTTCAGCCAGGACGCGGTCATTTCGCAGCGGGACGGGAAGTTATGCCTCATGTTCCGAGTGGGAAACCTGCGAAACAGCCACATGGTGTCCGCTCAGATCAGGTGCAAACTCATAAAGGTAAGCACGCGCGTTACCTGGGTGATAGCCAGAGGATGTTTCTCCTGCGCCACCTCAACTCTGAACGTGTTGTGTCTGAATAAAAAACAGTCTCAAATTGTTAAGTGTGTGTTAAGCGTTGTGACCGTTTTTCGAGCCATGCACCAAATTTCTGTTAATTCCCAGATTTGACTATTTCAGGGCAAAGATTCCCACTGGACGGCCTGGAATATACGAAGGAAAGCATGGACGTAGAACTTTTAACTGTAACTCTGTGTTGTGTTACAGCTTTTCATATATATATATATATAAACAACAACTTCCATTCACACACTACACCAAAGTAATTAAGTAATAGATAAATGTTACATTTTTTCTAAATGGAAACTAACTAATGGAAGATTTATATTTTATAACTACAGAACAGTCTGGACAATGAACTACCAGAAGTTTAAGATCAGCCTGTACGTGATTTGAAATGAGTTTAGCATCCCTGCTGTAGGGGCTCTGCTTTTATAGCGAGGCTCCATCGTGAGTTGTGCTTTAATAAGTGGCCATTTACTCCCCAGAGCATCCTACTTACAGCTACAGGCTGTGTATTTCAGCTCTGTGTTTATCAGCTCTCCTCTCTTCATTTCTGAGATGCTGACTGAGCCGCCTGCTTCAGCGAGGGTCATCACAAACTGCCCCCCTCCCCTCCTTCAGTCAGCAGTATGGCTGTCAGTGGGTTGTATATTCAAATTCAGCCTCAACTTAAGCTGTCCACAGATGAGATGAATGCCTCCCCCAGGAAATAGTTTGTGGCCAACTACAGCACGAGCACTTGGTTAAAAGATCATTTCTAAAGTTAACCGGCTACAATGGCTGTAATTCCTGTGGCCACTCTTTCCTAAAGACAGGACAAAATGTAACTATTAAATACTGAGACGTGACAGTGATTTGGCATTTTACCAGAGCAACTGCTGCCTTTCAGCGCTGCAAAAAATAAAAATAAAAATCCGGAGGATGAAAGGAGAGCCGAGGCAGCTGCTGTCGGCTATGATAAAAGGGAAGAGGAAAACATTTTGTGTCATACAATTTCACAACTGAAATAGACTGAAACTGCAGCTTCAAACAGCAGTCTCTCACCAGGGGAATGCTTTTCTCAAGTTCTCTCAGCAACATTTTTTTTTTGGCCTGGAGACCTTATGACTGATGGACAGTGCTCCACAGTGTCTGTGTTTCTCAGGTGCTGAAAAAAGTCCAAACACAACAATTCATCACAATTTGTGGACTTTGTATGAGCCCGCATAAGCTCCCTGCAGCAGTGTTCATCAGTTTAAACCTTAATAGCCGGCAGCGCTTTGTTGTGACAGTTAGATGTGCTTTTGTCACTCCTTTGGAGTTGTGAGGTGATCTTCAGTGACGGCTCACTTTTATGAACTCACACCAACGAGTTGATTGTACTTAGTTGTTTATTTTGTTTTCTTAACCAAGTCAACAGAAAAAAATGTTTAAAGTCCTTTTAAAATGTTTTAATCCCTCTATTTTTCATTTGACTTCAATAAAAAGAAAGAAATAATAAATAAAAGTCACTCATTATTAAAAGCCTTATTACTGCCACTATTTCAGCTCTTTCTCCCATTTTTATTTCATTACGTTATCAATTGTCCTTTAATTAACAGCTGAGAAAGGCAAAGGAAAAATATGGTGTCTTGATTGCACTTAATCACCAGTCTCACAGATGAATAATCACACAGAATGCACCATCATCAACTTTCTTCCTTCCGCAGAGGAGAGCAGTTCATTTCAGGCCGTTTTACACTCTGCATAGTCACCTCTAATGCATTCTGTCCTGTTTGAAATAACAGAGTGAAAGCAGTAAAACAAACATCCACGGTACATGCTGTAAAATTTCAGCCTCAATCAGAGCCACTGTAGATTTATCATTAAAGAGGAATTGTTATGAAAGTTTAAGCTGTATTCGGTTCCTGATACTGTAACTGAATTCATCAGGCAGTCAGGTGTGATTTGTAGCATTCATAGCAGAACGTACTGGAACAAATGCTGCATTAATGTTGCTGATTAGATACATAATGGAGACCCAGTACTTTAGCTGTGCAGGTAGCTTTCTCGGTCTTGCCTCACGTCTCAAGTTTAAGTGAACGTGCCAGCCTGGAGTGCTGCTTAATTACTGCATGGTAAACATTTGCTGTTTAGAGTGCTTTCATCCATCAGCTTTTTTTTTTCAGACTTTATTTAAACAGTCCTTGGCTTCCTTTCTAAGATCAGTTGATTAAATTTATGTGATGATCCTGACCTGGGATTTCTGCCAGTGAGTAATGATCATTAAATTATATTTTTAAGCTACAATCATTCATGTGTTATTCATGTGGAAGGTCAGATGTCCAGGACACCTGAATCACGTGTAAAATAAAAATAAAAATATTCAATTAACCTGCAGTAAAGGGTCAAAAAATGAATTCATAAGTCTTGTCCACATTAGCTGATTGTGATATTTTAAGAAGAAGCCTTCATCATCTTTGGATCCTGGACTAATCGTGCTGTGAAATCTGTGCGCAGGGTATGATCGTAGCACTGCTGCATTATTCCTTTTTTCCTGCCCATGTACGTCACTGTGTTGTCAGACTGCACAGCGGTGTATTGTACAGTAGATTGATTCAACATAGCCCTCTAGTACTACAGCTGCGCTGTGCAAATGATGCCATGGCTCATGTTCAGGTAGCACGCCACTCAAGGTCACTGTTAGATGTTTTGCCCACAAAGCTGGTTGAAGAAATGAGGCATGTTGCAGTAAATCCTAATGATGGAGCAGTGCAAACGTACGGTGGCACGGAGATACCTTGGCATGGGCCATAAATTTGCTGTGGGACCTGGATACTCTGGACTTTTGGGAAAAAGTAAAGTTGGTGTGTGTGCAGTCAGTGAATTATTACAGAAAAGAATACTTGGTGGAGCATTTGGACTCTTCAGCTATGTATTTTCTGACTCTTTTACACAATGATGTAAGAAACTGTCACTGGAGCGCTAAATAATTCCCCCTTGCTACGTGGGCGTCTAGTGGCTATGAACATTAAAGCCAACACTGATCTCCTCGAGTTTGCCCTCTAACTGCTGGATGTGAATTTTACTGAGTTTCATCAGTAGAAGTTTAGAGGACTGAAGCACAAGTAGAAATGTCAAGTAGGAGGTGATGGTGGGCGTGCCTCTTTCCATTTCACACATGTCTCTTTTATCGACAAGCTCAGTGACATATGGGACTTGTCTAGAAGATGTGATAACAATATAAAAGATTTACTTTAAACATTGTAGCCTTATTTCAATCTCCCACTCCCTTCTTCCTTGACTTGTGACCAAGATTCGGAGATACCTGAACTTCTTCACTTGGGCTAGCAACTCATTCCCAGGTCGGAGTGGGCACTCCATCCTTTCTGCCTGAAAACCATGGCCTCAAACTTGGAGGTGCTAATTTTGGTAAATGGACTGGTTCTTATATAGCACTTTTCTACTCTTCCGAGCACTCAAAGCGCTTTACACATTTGCTGCACATTCTGAAGCAAACTACCCCAGTGCAAACTGGAGGTCATGGCTTGAAGGAGCTATCAGAACTAAATCAGCTGGAAAAAGCAGATTTTGAGAACACCAAATGTGACACCCTCCACCCTTTGGCTGCCACAGAATTTGTGACGAAGAGCAGGAGTAGGGAAGTCCTGCTGATAGCAATACAAATCAAACTCCAACTACAGTAATACCAGGATTACCATCCACAGGGCTGCAGTGAAATTCCCTCTCCAAGTCCACAAAACACATTTTAGAATGATTCAAAAATACTCACGAGAACGAAGAGATTCAAGTAACCAGTTTGCAGTGCTAGATGTGAGTTCAGGAACCCATTCAACTGCATCCAGTTCAAAAGTGCTGTTAGACAAGTGTATTTCAAGGCTTTTGTTGGCATAGTATACATACATATAGCCACTTTTAAGAGAACTAGAAAGAATGCAGCTCTAGGCTGTATTATATTTTACCAGACACAAGTAATTAACTTGTGCCTGGTGAAATATAATAGTAGATCCCAATTTTATGGTTACACATAACAAACTTAATTATGAGCAGAAACACAGCTCTCTGGCAGTACTGCCCACCCTATATCCACAATGCATGTTAATGTAAAAACATAAAAGTCCTTGAAATTCCATTAATATTGATGCAGCATTAATTAATAAACCAGTGGAATGCAGAGGTGCTCTGACCCCTGCAGCAGAAGTGAAATATAATATTAAAATGGAAACATGCAGGCATGTGGGTTGCCGTCAGAGCGCGGATGTAACGAGCTTATCTTGGCAAGAAAAAAAATTGGTGGGACAAAGGAGATGGAAGCAGTAAACAGCAGCAAGTGTGGCAAACAAGACTGAACAAAAATGCAGCGGGGGAGAGTGACAGCTGGGCGGTGCTCGTCAGTGTCAACAGAAGCCTGTCTCAGTAGGTTGGTCCACAGCAGGAGATAAGTGATAAGGGCGAGAAGCAGACAGACAGGCATGCATGCAGGAGCTTAGCGAGACAGGCAGGCAGATATGCCGGCATGACTCGCAACATCTGCCACCGTCTAACTCTGAAGGACAAGCAGGGAAAGCAAAAGAAAGAAGAGAAGAAGAGGCAAAAAAAGAAAAGCGATAATGTTGTGGCAGACAGATTGAGAGACAGAATGCAACGTCTGTGCGAGAATCACATTTTATCTCCCGCTCAAAGCCCAGTAGCTGGACACATGTCCACATTTGCATGTCAAACACAAAAGTAATACATGTGTGTAAATGTGTGTGTAAATGTGTGTGTGAATGGGTGGATGACTGGATATGTAAAGCGCTTTGGGGTCCTTAGGGACTAGTAAAGCGCTATATAAATACAGGCCATTTACCATTTACCATGTGTGTTGCATTGTTGATGTCTGGATTTCTTAGTATCTTTTTCAAACACATGCATTTGCACACACGGTCCACACAAACTGTCACTGAAGGGCAAGTGAGTCACCAGGGAGAGGGCCTGCCTTCACTCAACTTGAATCTCAGGTGGCTTGGTAAATTAAGCACCCCCTCCATATCAGGACCTCTTCCAAAGCCCATTAATTCCCCCCTTGTGGCGCTGACTGTTTAGCAGCACTAAGAGAACACACAAGGCTTTTACATTGTTGAAGCCATCCAGCAGCTTTCTGCGTCCTTGGCAGGGGTATAATTCTGTTGTAGCACTACAGCGCTAGTGAGGCAAGCAGTGAGGATTTATTAAAATCAGCAGTTTTACCTTTACACCCAGAAATAAATGACTTACCAGTACACTGGTTTCCAAATGGGAAAATCTAGTGCAGTAGCACCATTATTATATTTAAATAAAAGGAAATCTTGAGCTTTGCCTGTTTTTGATGTCATAAAGATTGCTGCTAAAAAGAAGGGCAGTTAGATGGATAATTAAGCTGGATATAAAGGATTTAAGCAGCAATACCTATTACCACACTGGACTGCATTTTACTGTTCACTAAGTGTAAATATGAAAACATCAGAGGCATAATTGAAGAGCCTCAATGTTAGCATTTTTCCATCCTCTTATCTATACCATAGTTAGACAAGAGGATTCAGTTCTCAATAATCAAGGCACTTGGTAATGTAAGGTAAAGACTTAATAATAACAGAGAGGAAACCCCAACAATCAGAAGACCCATATGAGCAAAGACTTGGCAACAGCAGGAAGGAAAAACTCCTTTTTAACAGGAAAAAAACATGTGGTGCAGCCAGTTTGGGAGTGAGGGGCTGGAGACAGGACAACTTCTGTAGCATACAGTCTGTACCAAGCAGGAGGTCATATTTGTCAGATAATTACATCAACAATAAAAACAAACATTAAAAAAAAACATAAACATGGGTGTGCTCTAAAAGGAGCTACTGTAAAGTTTTTTATTAAAGGCTGTAAAAGTGTTAAATTCATTGCTGAAGTTGGGTATTTCCCCACAGGAGTCAGTGGGGACTGTCTTGCTTTTGAAGGCAGCCTCAAGTAGCCAATGCAGGAACTACTGTTTTTGCTACTCATTTCTCAGCCCTGGAAGTTGCTGCTTTGAAATGATAACTTTGTGCTGCTAAGCTAAGCAAACTGCCTGATGAACACCGCTTTATATTTATCATGCAGAGTGAGAGTAATATCTCCAAGCTCTCAGCAATAAAGTGAAAAGTATTTAATGTCAGACGATGTAATCCTATAAGCTGGGATTTAGACCGAAAGCAAAAGAAAGGGCTGCTTTGGTAAGGGTGTCTGTTATTTATAGTGGCTACCGGTAAGACAATCGATCCAGGAAGTCCAGCTGGAGTAAACAGATTAATGCATTTAATGGCTTAACAGTTGCCAAAACACTTTACAGCGGACATGACCTGATTGTTTTTGGCATCAAAGATGGAATTACTTTATCTTTAATGGCAAAGGTAAACAGAAGCAGTTTGTTTGTTTTGGCAGAGCCACCCTGTGCAGGCACCCCTCCATTCCAGGCATGATCAGACTCTGACTGAGGAGATTTTACATCTCTTCCTTGATGACATCCCCAAATCGAGTAACATTATTTTATTTGTTACGAGAATACACCCCGTAGACTGACAGATCAAAGGCGCGGTAGGTGGTGTAGCTTTTTACAGCTTTTTCTGCTTGTTTCCTTTTAGGGAAAGTTCTCACTGTTACATAAAAAAACATCTGCATTTCTTGCTTTTTCGACTTAACTTCAGTGGACATGTTACATCGGCTCCCCGTCTGCGCGTTCAGTGAGCGGCAGCCACTGATGCAGCATGATGGGTGACACTTTCCCTCAAGAAGGCGAGCCGGGGATCTGTGGGCACAGACGTCTTCCTGTGAAATGTCACACCCTTCTGTCCTCAACATCACGGTGAATACAAATGACAGGCTGTTTGCCATCTGTGAACCGATTGGCTCCTTGCTCAAAGGGCCAGGGAGGCCACTCTTCATGAAAGTTAACAGTAGGCGACGGGAAGAAGATATAATCTATTTAATCTACCAATAAACATTAACAACAGGGAAAGATGATTTTCACCCTTCTGTTTATGTATGAAATGTTAGAACTCATATGGGTATTATCAGTATTTTTTCTTTTTGGCCTTTTCTTTGAGCTTCTTTCTTGATATTTTCATTTAACACATACTTTACTTATTTAGATTTGCCCTATTTGGTCTACATTTGGTCAACAATGTTGGTTTTTTTTAAGGCCAGACTGTTGCTGAGAATTTCAATGGGGTCTAATCTGCTGGAAATTAGGAGGTGTGTACACAGTGAATGAAAAAAAAATGAAATAAAGATTACTGGTGCTTGGGTTGTCAGAACGAGATGCTGGGAAGGTGAGAGACTATTGTTTTAACACCTTCATTCTCACTTTTACCCTGCATGTCTGCCAGTCAGTGTGACAAGTACATTTCAGTGCTATTGCCTCCTCAGGTCAGTTGTTCTTGCTTTTACCACTATACAGCAAAAATACACTTCATTAGGTCCACATTGCTTACATTGTGTTGGATCTCCTTTTGCATTCAGAACTGCTTTAATTCATCATAGATTTGGAATCATCAGAATTCTTGGTCCATATTGGTATAACAGCTTCACACAGTTGCTGCAAATCTGTCGACAGCGCATCCATGATGCAAATCTCTTTTTCCACCACATGCCAAAGAGGCTGTGTTTGACTGAGATCTGTGACAGTGGAGGCCATGTGAGTACAGTGAACTCATTGTTGTGTTCAAGAAACCACCCAGTAGAAATTTCAGTACTGAATAGCTGTTAGCTGGTGGTCTTTTCTTCCAATATAACAATTGAAAGACGTCACAGATGTTATTTGGCGTTGGTTTGAGGTACTTCTTAAACATTGTCTCGATATCTAGATTAGACTTTGTAGAGAAAGTTTGCATTTAAGGTTTTTTTCTTTGTTGTTGGTTTGTTAGTTAATTAAATTAACTTAATTAAATTAAATTAATTACAATTATTGAGAAAAGAATTATAAGAAACAAAAAACCTAAATGGTGGATTGATGTAATCTATTTCACACTTTGTAAGAGATGTTCTGACATGAACTGTGTAGGAGCATGGTCTGTCCATCTATGGTTAAGTTTTATATGTTGTACTGCAACCAGTTTTGATCAGCGTTAGTTAATTATGTTTGCTGGAAAGTTTAAGATGGTTTGAGCTTCATGACATGGTGCGTTAATGCTGCTGGAAGCAGCCATCAAATGATAGATACATTGTGGTAATAAAGGGACGGACAAGGTCATCAACAATAATCAGCAAGGCTGTGGAGTTTAAATGATGCTCAGTTGGTGCTAAGAAGCCCAAAGTGTGCCAAGAAAATATCCTCCACACCAATGCACCACCACGACCAGCCTGACAAGCTGATACGAGGCAGGATGGATCCATGGGATTTATATTGTTTATGCCAAATTCTGACCCTACCATCTGAATGTTACAGCAGCAATTGGGACTCGACAGATTGCTGCTGGAACATTGACAGATTTTTCCAAATCTGTGGCTTCTTCTTGTCCCCATCTGACAAGACGTGTAGGCCTGTCGAAGCAGTTCTGGGAGCGCTTTGTATTTAGTTGCTGTTGTTTTGCAACAGTACTACCACAAGTGAGCCTGGGACCAAAGATAACGTCTACATCTTCTTCATTACGGTCCCGTTTTTCAATAAGTGTGGCTGATGGAAGCAATTCTCAGCGACCACATCTAGTTTACAGGCTTCACCCTGTCTGCCTTTGAGCACCAAAAACAACTCATTCTCTCCACTTTAACTCTCTAAGTATCCAATTCCATATGGTACCATGTGAAATTCCAGAAGGAAATTGCCTTTTCAATGCTATTCCGGTGGACTTTAAATGCAGCTTCGGTTACCTTTTGATCAAGGATAAAGAATACGTGCATATATATAGTAGCAGTAGTTGGGTTTCACATGAAAAGTACTCACCAAGTGGTAGGTACTGCAAAGGAGAGGTTAAACCTGGCAGATTGACAATGTGTCCTCATAAACTCAACTATAGCCTGTAAAAAGCTATTTTTGTGCAGGAATATTAGCTTCAATCAAACACACTGACTTTGAACCAATGAGACTGCAGGCTAAAAACTGGCTAATGCTTCAGTGGCTTTGGACCCTTTCACTCTCACATGCACCTCTTTCGGGTGATGTGTAGGGAAGTTCAGGGCTCTAAAATGTGTGTTAAAATGGGTCATAAAACCTTTTAGCTGTGTAGGTAGAGTCATTTGCATGTTCTACATGACAGCAAAGCAGTACTTTGAAATTCAGAGGTTTTTTTTTTTTTAACATGACGACAATATGATTCAATTAATTCATTTTGTCAGATGTGTTTTCCTCAGCTGGAAATACACTTCCATAAACAGCAAACACCACACTGATAATGTCCTAAAGATAATTTAGGTGACAAGAAGATTCTCGACACTTTCATGTCTGCATGGCAGATATGACCGGTAACTTCTTTGAGTCTGTGCTGGTTGCCTGGCAACTGGTCCCAGCATAGTCTGACCACAGCCTAGTACAAAACTGTGAATTGGCATGAATGTTTTTACACTTTGCTTTTTGCTTTGTTTTTGTTTTAAATCAAATAAAATGTAACAATAATGTCAGGTTTTAAAGTGTCCACCTCATATCAGTAATTTTAAGACTCTCTTGCTAGTTTATGAAGTTGCTAAATGCCAATCACCAGCATTATCTCAGTCAGGCTTTCTAGTTTATATAGCTAGGTCCCTCACGAGTCAGAATCTCAGGAGTACTGACTTGAGGCTGAAGAGCAATCTGCCTCAGAGTCAGAAGGACTCCATCTTTGTAGAAACCCTCAAAACCCCTTTTATGAAAGATGAGAAAATCCATTTAATGTACATCTTTTCTTCCTTAGACTGCCTTGGTGGGAGTGTTGGTATAAACTTCAATGTTTGTGCTAAAATGTCCTGTTCATTTGTGTCTACAGTCTCGGCAGACCCCAGAGGGCGAGTTCCTGCCTCTGGATCAGTGTGAACTGGATGTAGGTTTCGGGACGGGGGCGGATCAGCTCTTCCTAGTGTCACCTTTGACTATCTGCCATGAGATCAACAGCAACAGCCCGTTCTTCGACCTGTCACAGCGCTCGCTCATGAACGATGAGTTTGAGATTGTTGTCATTCTGGAGGGCATCGTGGAGACCACTGGTGAGAACGTATTCTTATTTCTGAGGTCCTTTTGCTGTCTTTTTTAAAAACAACTAACTTTGTGTAAGCATCGCTGTCCCTTATCATTTGTCTCATCATCATTTAGCAGGTGTTAGATGGAGCTTCTCAGTAATATAAAATGAAATATTTAACACAATGTTTAATTTCATGGTGTTTAATTATTCAAAACACAAGGCTGCTTCCATCTCTGTTAGTTTTTCATGTTTCCCTCTCCCTTGTCCCTGAAGCAGTTCACCACTTTCATATCAGCTTCCTGTCTGGCTGTCAGTCCATTTTTATTTAATACAGTTTTCCTCTTTGTCTTTTCCCCTGTCTGTATTTGAAATATTTTTCTACTCTGTCTCTTCTCTTCATCTCAGGTATGACATGCCAGGCAAGGACATCTTACACTGAAGATGAAGTCTTGTGGGGTCATCGCTTCCTCCCTGTCATGTCTCTTGAAGAGGGCTTCTTCAGAGTCGATTACTCCCAGTTCCACAACACCTTTGAAGTCCCCACACCTCCCTACAGTGTCAAAGAGCAGGAGGAGAAGTCCTCCCTGACGTCACCCAACCCCCTGCCTGTTGCGCCTACTCCCCCTTCGCCTCTGCTGAGGAACAGCAGCCGAGTAGGCCGCAGGGAGAGGCTCCTGTCAGCTGACAATGCAGATCATGTAGACGATCAAGTCTCCAGGCTGCCCAGCAAACTCCAGCGCATGAGCTCCAGCAGGGAGGAGCATCTCTGGAGGGGGCTGAAGACTGGGTCAGCCTTGCCTGGGGGGAAGGCCTCCAGCACAGGAGATCTGCCGCTTAGTATTCAGAGGCTGAGGTCCAGCTCCATCCCTGTAGTGAGGCAAGGACATCCGGAGGAGCAAGTCCAGCTGTTGTCTTTGGATGGAGAAGCTGAGGAGAGTGAGCTGGAGAAGCACAGATTGCCCACAGCCATTAGCACCATTGCTGCTCCAACCCCAGCACCAGTCCAAATCTCCTTGGTAGGGAGTCGGCCAGAGGACAACTTGCCTCCCAAACTGCGCAGAATGAATGCTGACCGCTGACATCTGCAAACTACCTTCAGGACTAAAACTAATTTGAAAAATTTATCAGGCTTGATGGGCATTGCATATAAGTAAAGTCTACTGTGATCTAGTTTTTTTTTTTTGTAATTTCTGCAGATTCTCTCCAGTTTTCAGTATTTCTTATCAGGCTCTTTACTAAGTTGTCCATTGCCACAAATAGAAGGACAACACCAATAAGCCATCCATCCGCTCATACTGTGACTCAGTTTTGATATATCACCATCTGTGCCCCCCACTGACTTTTAACACTTATGTCCTTGTGCTTGTTCCTTTCATTTCTTTTCCCAGAAGTTGCATCAAAGACTTTCTTATGGCCTCAAACTGCTGTATCCACTTGTTTTTAATTGAACAAGCACCAAAGTGGCAGTTATAAATCAGACTGATCATTTGCTAAACCAGCTCCCTTAAAACAGTGACTGTCCAGTGGCTGCTTAGCAAAGATAACCAGGCACGGCAAGTCTGTCAAGCTTTGGATTCACTTATTATTCTTGATTTCTCATATAATAAGTGTGCAGTGGTGTTTAAATTAAGCCTTTACCAAACATAAAACAATGTGCAAAAGGATAAGAAAGTGTTTTAGAGGTTTGCTCATTTGTATCAATGTAAAATTTATCTGTAGCAGATGCTGTTTGCTACAGGACAACCTACTGTAGTAGTCAAATACTACCTAATCTCTAAAAACAGATTTTGCATATGAATATGTACAATCTATAGGCAAGACACAACATTTCTGTACCAGAACACTCTGGCACACTCTGGTTTCTTTTTGTAGTCTTTTTGTAGTCCAGGTGCACTTTACTGGCAATGCGCCGATATGATATTTGGATCAGATTTTGGTCCGAGCCTAATTCTAAAGGCTGGATTGGATATTGTTTAAAACGAGATGATCTATGACCAATCTATTCATTTTTACTGTATTTGATTTACTCAGCAGCAACAGTGGTTGCTATTGGCCAAGTTAACAAAGCACTAAGTAAGCTAACAGCAAAGCAGCAGTTAATGCTTTCTCTTTCTTGGTCCTTCACTTGTTTGGAAGCTTTTATTACTCTTTATTACACTCTTGGTTACATAATGTGCTTGTGCCAGCTCTACTTCACACCAATATATTGAGGAGCAGTAAAAGCAGGTGAACTCAGATTGAAAGGACGTAAAGGAGAAACTTGCATGATTGTCAATGAAAGCAGTGTGTAGTAGGCTTGCACTGAGCTCGGACTAATACAAATAAATTAGATAAATAATGAAAATTACATTTTAGATTTTATTAATTTTTTCTGTTGTTGTTTATTATTATTTTTTTGTTAATAAATATAAAATCAAGTACATTTCTATTCTTGGATGCATGTATTTGTTAGAAAAGCAAGATTTAAGTTGAGCCTGGTGCTAGCTAAAACACAAGGAATGGTACTCTTCCTCACAGTGAGGATTACAGTTTATTGATTTAACTCTGGTACCGGATCAACAGATACTCAATGCCAAGATCTAAGTATTGGATCAGAATTGGTAAAAGCAGGATTGGTGTGTCCCTATTATTGACTAACTTTGTTTGATAGTCATTTTGTAGAACAATAGAGGAACATGCATTTGCTAAAACACATCAGATAACTATCACCTACTGTCTAACAATGATTTGAGTTTTTATTTGCTTTTTTGCCTGACATCACAAACACTAATCAGATGGAAAAAGAGAGTAAGGTTCTAAGACTATCTCCTCTTTAATTAATTTAATTTATTTTTACGTAAAATCCAGCAGCTTTAGCTTCAGTCTTTTTGCACAGTAACATGTCTGAAGGCATCCAGTGCATATTTAAATCATTTTTTCAAGATTAGGCATTGGTTTTTTTTGCTAACATTGACCTCTCATCTCACATGCACAGCTTGCATTAGCCTAATTAGCTAGTTAACATAAAGCTAACGAAAAAATCAACGGCTTATCTACAATTTAAACCTGCCTTTGTGCGTTTTAGTAGAAAAACCGCATGAGTGCCATACAAGAAAGCAACAGGGGGACGGGGTTTAACTTTACGCAATTTAACCTGAAGTGGGTGAAAAAAAATCCCTGATACACATGTTACATTAATATGTTTTAAGGACTACTATTTATTTGGATGCTTACATGAGCAACTGCATTACCTATTGTGCAATTTTAACAATTTTTACCTCTTGGTGCACTGTTTGCATTGGACCATTACACATGGGGTGCCAAATGCAATCACAAATCAATTTTAGACTGCAGATTTTCTGTCACTATTAACTGGTTTATCAAAATGTAAAAAACAACAGCAACAAAAAAAAAAAACAATGTAGGAATGCAGGGAAGATGATGTCAGAGGATCTGTGTATTATTGCCATTATAAAGGAAAGATTACTTCATATTGCAACTGCTAAATAATAAATTCTTTGAAAACACAACTGTGCCTGTTAGCACTGATATTTTTCCCTCTGAAAAGAAAACTGTATTGCCTTTTCTGTTTGACTCAGCTTGTATATTTGCACACTGTACTCAACATCCAGAGCAGTTTCATCCTGCAGAACCTATCAGCAGCTCATGTGTCACCTGCTGTGATGGCTAAACCAGCATTCATCAAATATTAAAGCCTTAAACGTGAGCGTGAGTTTGTTCTATTTTGAAGCAAATTTTAGAACAACAAGCAAGATCCTTCAGACAAAATCTTCAGGTAGTTACCCCTGGCTGGAAGGTTAACTGAGTTAAATCTAGCCCCTCAACCTTCTCCTCTGGCTGCAACTTATATTATATATATTATATATTTACTTATATTTTAGTTTTCAAGCTGCCATAAATCACAGGTTAAAGGAGCTTGGTAAGTGGCATAATTGCTGCTGACACATGTACTCCATAGGCAGAAAATCTTGCAGAGATAAGACTTAAACATCAGAGGATGTCAAGCATTTATTAGTCATGCTGCAAAGAATAGCAGAAGAATGAAATGTGATTATGTAACTAGTCGAGAGTAAGAAATGACCTCCGTCCAGCTTAAGATAAAATTAACTCAGATAAATGGATAAAGAATAAATCAAAGACATAATGCTGTATAATGATGGACCAACTGAAATATGCATTCATTATTCAGTGATCATTCAAATGTGCTTGGGAAAAAAAAGATTAGTGTAATCTTCATTCAAAGGCACTTTCTTGATACAAATTTTTATATATATAAACAGGAAACAGTTTGCATCATTTGTATTCACTGACTTATTTCATATTTGGGTTATGCTAAAAAACTAATGAAATTGCATTTAATCAAGCAAAAATAAAACACACAATATGCGCTTATCATTACCTTGAATATCATAAGAAGGAAAAACCTTCAACAGGAAAATTTTAATTTAAAATCGGTAGATTGACTGGAGCAGCAGGAAGGAAAAAAACATCCTTTTAGTAGAAAGAAACCTCCAGCAAAACTGAAGACAGACATAGGCCTTGATCACTTAGGGACTGAGGGAAAATAAAAGAGAAAAAAAAAACAGATCATAGAGAGGACAAAACACGTAGTATGTGAGAAAGAAGAGGAAGTTCAATTTCATGGCTGCAGTGTGTATATATATATATATATATATATATATGGGGAATAAAAACGGGTTGTGGAGGAGTAATATATAGTGACTTATCCAGCCCTAAATATAATGATTATTAAAATGGAAAGGAAAGTGGGAGCTGGTTCTATAGGACAGTGTCTGATTAGCTATGCCTCCCATTCTACTTAAACCTACAATCTGAGACTGAAATGTTCTATTAGGGTAATATAATACTAGGAGGTCTTAAGATGTGATGGGGCCTGATTATTGTAAGATGGATTTTATATTCTATTTAGGATTTAACAGACAGCCAGGGAAGATAAACTAATATGGGAGAAATATGATCTTTCTCCCGTCTGTTACCACTCTCACAGCAGTATTTCTGGATAAGTAAAAGCTTTTCAGGGAGCTTTCAGAACTGCCTGATAATAAAGAATTGCAATAGTCCAGCCTAGATGTAATGTGTGTGAATTAGTTTTTCAATATAACTGTTAGAAAGAGTGTTTTTGAAATGGAAGTCCTACATACTTGTTTAGTATATGTGTTGAAGGACATATGCTAATCACAAAAACCCACCAAGAATTCTCACAGTGTTACAGGAGGCCAATGCGATGTCATCCAGAGTAAGTTAGGTACCATGTTTTGAAAATTTGTTTAGGGCCAATTATAATACCCTCAGTTTTGTCTAAATTCAGAAACAGGAAATTACAGGTCATCCAGCCATTCATGTCTTTAACACATCCCTGTAATTGTAGTAATCAATTTGTGTAATCTGGCATCAAAGATGATTACATAATTTGGTATCATCTGTATGAGAATGAAAAAGTATAAAGTGTTTTCTAATAACATTACTGAAGAGAAGCATGTATAATGTAAGAAGTATTGGTCCTAGTACAGAACCCTGTGGAACTCCATAACTAACTAATGTGTGAAGAAGGCTTCCCAAACTTGATTTTATCAACTAGATAAATATAACTGAGACTATTTTAAGTGCATTTAATTCTTCTAGAACAGCATTACTTGGAAATTTACTAGGAAACTTTATACATCTACTGCACTTTATCGCTTAATTTGACTATCTCAAGGAGTTAAAAGCTCACACCTAGCTGTAACATTAAAGTAGTGTTTACGTGTTGATAGTTATCATATTATTTTGACTCATTGTGCATAAATGGTTTATTTTTTGTAGTTTGTAGATTATATGCACATACTGAAAATGGCCCTGCAGGTGAAAACCACCTAAAAGTAAACAAAAACAGAAATGTTACTTTAATAGTAATATGTGTTTTATCACATCATTATTCAATGCTGTCATATTAAGCATGTCATATTTTGATTCTGTATATCAAAGAGGAAGAGTTGGGTGTATAAATTATTATACACTCATGGCCATGACCCCCTTTTGAATCCAAAATATTTACAATTTGGTGGAAAGATTCCTCTGAGATTTTGGACCATGTTGAGATGATAACATCACACATTTGGTGCAGATTTGTTAGAACAAACATCCATGTGAATCTCCTATTCTATTGCATCTCAATGATGACTCTGAGTACCCTGTGGTTATAAAGGGATGGGAATGTTCATTAGGAATACTCAGGTTGGTTGTGGTGTTTAAACGGTACTCAATTGGTACTAAGGGTGCCAATCTGTGCCAATAAAATATCCCCACACCAGTAAACACCATCACTGTCACCCTGAACTGTTGATACAATGCATAATGGATCCATGCTTTCATGTTTACATCAAATTTTGACCCTGAATGTGGCAGCGGAAATCAAAACTCATCAAACCAGGCCACATTTTCTCAGCCTTCTATAATGTTTAATTTTGGTAAGCCCCTGCGAACCGTAACCTCAGTTCTTTGTTCTTAGGTGACAGGCGCAGCACCTGGTGTGGTCTTCTGCTTTAAGGTTTGACGTGCTGTGCATTCAGAGATGATCTTCTGCATACCTTGACTTCAACAAGTGTCTTTCTTTCTTTGGTTACCGTCGCCTTCCTGTCAGCTTTTAGCAATGTGACCATTCTCCTCAAACCTCTGATATACAAGGTATTTTTTAGATTACCACTCTCTAGATATTTTCTCGTATGGACCATTCTAAAAAACCCCATAAACCCCAGAGATGTCAGACCACTTTGTGTGGTACCACGTTGAAAGTCATTTAAATCACCTTTCTTCCCCATTCTGGTGCTTGGTTTGAACTTAAACTGGTTATTTTTACTTTTACAAGTTTAAATGTGAGTGTATACATTTGGGTTTTTAATCTTTTACAGACATATCAAGTCATCTAAAAGTAATCTAAAAAGCAAATAGTTATTGCTAAGAAGCACTGTTTTTGTACTGAATTGTAGTGGAGTACAAAACAAGTACATCAGCACTGTATCTAGTTACAGTGATTAAGAAAGGTTTCCACTATGATTATCCTTTAATAAAACTCAATTTCCACAGTATGTACTCAGTGAAAAGGGAACTTTATTACGAAAGTAAAGCAAACAAAGATATGCAGCTGTATTACTTCCAGCTTCATCGCTTTTTTTAAACCCCCAAAAGAGACATTTTCACAAATCTTACCTGTCCTAGACTGTAAGGCTTCTAATGTTTGACTGTAGACTGTAGTCCTTTTTGTACCAATTTAGATTTCATTTTGAATCATTGTCATGGCTGTCTCAAATAGCATTTTTATGCCACCACAAAGGCAGAAGTGAAAGTAGGACGTGACTCCACGAGCCCCGTATATCTGCATGTTTTTCTTTTGCTTAGGGAAACACAGCGAGAAGCTCTCGGTTGGAGCACCATGATCACACATCCACATTGACCAGATGCTCATGCATAGTCAATGAGTACAAAAATCGCTGCTTCCCTACACTGTTAACTTCATGAACTGGACAATCATGTGAAATAAGAGATCATCTGGGATGTGGTGGTACAGCTTAACTGTGTTTTGGCCTCTTGACACAAATACAGCCATTTACATGCATGAACTATAAATAAATCTGCACCTTGGGGCTACTACTGCTTTGAAAGTATAACGTTAACTGGGAGTTTCTTGTATTATCCAGATGATTCAAACTCCACTAAAATGCACAAATAAACTGACTCGGTTTTGAAACAGAAAGAAAAAATACCACAAGTAAAAAACCTATATATAGACATATATAATGTAATTCAGAATTTCATGGAAATATCAAAGACAAAACCTTACAATTCCAAAATATTTTGCACAACAGAAATTATGCCTGAATAGCAATGAGAAAATCAAGGAGATTTTTAAAACATTTCCTTTACATCAATATAAGGCATCATTTATTTGTGCTGCCATCTGTATAATGTGCCACAGGCTCACTCTGGGCAGCATAGGTAAATAGTGCTCAGCTCTCCCTTGCAGAATCTCAATTGCTTTTCTTTCTTTACTTTTTCCATGACTCACAATTCGAGTGCATTTTATTGCCATGGTGTCCTATCTGCTGTGATTCCAGAAGAGGGAAGGAAGGAAATTTACTTGTTTCTGTAACTCAAGAAAGCGTCCACCTGAAAAATGACTGTCTCAAGGTAATTTTTCCCTTGAAGGTTTCCCCTTCACTACACACTACAGAAATGTAATTTCATAGGTCTCTATTAATCAGACTTATGTTGTAAGGAACCACATGGATAGAATGACTCCACGTCAAGTTAATGCACCATTTTGCTGATAAGTCAAACTGTTATAGAGAAGATGCAAATATATTTTTACATATTTTTAGTTGTTTAGTTTTTCAGTTGTAATTATTTAAAATGAAATTTGTCTTTAAGAATATTATTTTTTTGGAAAGTCTGTAAAACTTCAAATCACTGGTTTTTCTCAGTAACTTTAAAGCTGCTATTATCAGT